ATTTGTATATGTGAAAATAAAACAAGAATTATATATATAATATACAAAGAGGTTTAAAAAATAATCTGCAAATCACTCACATGGAGATGTTAGTTGAAGCCATGGAAATAGATCAGACTGCACAGGGAGAGAGTATAATAAGAACAGGATGCTGGACCATGGCAAACATCCACACTTGAGGGGCAAAAAGACTGTGAGTCAGTGAAGAGGCATGAGAGGAAGTGTTAGATTAGAAGATGGACAACCAGGTAAAGTCATGCCAAGAAAGCCAAATAAAAGAAATAACCAAAAAAGATGCTCACTTGGTCAAATGTTGCCAAGTGGTTAGGAGGAGGGCAGTGACAGGGCCATTACAGGGAACTCACTGGGTACAATGCAAGGGCAGACAGGTTTCCTATCTAGTGCTGGAGGTGGAAACCAAATCTGAAAATTACCTATTCGGTGAGACTGACTATGAGGAAAAGAAATCCTGGGCCATTTGCTTAAATTTCAGTTTATGGGGAAAAAAAGATTGTGGAAATCTAAAACCAAGTAAAAGTATATCAGGATTACTAATCTATGGGTAATGAACCAAAAATTGGCAAGAAAAAACATGTTTGAAGGATTGTAAAGTTTTCCATATAGTAAGCTCTGTTATAGGATAAATAAGAGAAAAAATAGCCCCATGCTTGTCATCAGAAATACAAAAAGTAAATCTTTATAAAAGGGTGGGGGGCACCTGGCTGGATCAGTCGGTAGAGCATGTGACTCTTGATCTCAGGGTCGTGAGTTTGAGCCCCATGTTCAGTGGAAAGATTACTTAAAAATAAAATCTTTTAAAAAAAAAGAACAAAAAGTTGCATCTTTTCCCCCTTAAAGATGGAAGTTCTTAGTTTCATTGTAGCATTATGAAGAAATTCTTTAAAAGCAAATAAAATGAATGTAATATATCATGGTACCTTATTAACTTTTCATGACTGTGCATGTGAAGTCTCTAGAAACATTTTCAAGTATAAAGAAATCATTTGATGTGCTAAATAATGGATTGCTTGTTGGGTCAAATCTTGTCCTTTTATAAAAAGAGATCTGCATTTGCACAATAATTTGACTAAGTCTCAAGGACTTTGTAGTTAGCCACACAATAAACATAGCAGTATGTTCCTAGGAAGAGTACCGTTTACCATAGAATCTCAATTCCACAATCATTAAGTAAGAAACTACTCAATTTACAACCACTCATTTGTTACTAAAGAACCTTGAGAGTCTGTTTTAAGTAATTTAACATCACCTGGAGATTACTGTACACAATCCAAAATAAAGTACTTTAACTTCCTATCACAAAACACACAGTGAAAGACCATAGTAACCTTTAGAAAAAGACAAGTCTTTTCTTATGGAAATTCCTGACAAGTCACAAATTTTCCTATCTGCATAAAGAGTACAATTCCAATCCAAATAAAAATCACCTATTTCTGAGAGTATGGAATTAAGAATGCCTGAAAACTAGTTTCGTTATCAACATAAACAGTGACAAATTCTCCCAATTTGTGGTTAGGTGGCCTTTTATGGCAAAGATGTCTAATGATCTCCTATACTCTCAACCTTCTTTTGTGTCTGGGTGTATATGTCTTTGAAGAACCTTTCTGGTACAGAAGCCCTAAGTTAATTACAGATGATTGTCAAAAAATATCAGGGGGAAGTCACAAACTTGAAACCCTAAGAAGAACAATCATTAAAATTGTACTTGAAAACATTTTAAGGAAACAACATAATCATTTTAAATACCCAAAATACATGCAAATACTGACTGCCTTTCCAAAAATTCCCAGTGAAGACCACTTTCCTAAGGTGTAAACAGAAAGAAAAGAGGTAAGTAATGTCAAAGAAATGTGTTCATCAAGTACCATGGCTCAAATTACCAAATGAGACAACCACCATCTGTTTTATTAACTCAGAATCTCCATTTAAAAAATGAAAACGGGTGCCTGGGTGGCTTAGTTGGTTGAGCGTCCGACTCTTGGTCTCAGCCCAGGTCTTGATCTCAGGGTCATGAATTCGAGACTGGCAATGGGCTCCATGCTGTGCACGGAGCCTATGTATAAACAAACAAACAAATAAGAAAAATGAAAAACAATCACATAGAAGGGACTGTGTCATGTTCATCCTCTGTATACTAGATCACTGGCACACAGTAGGCAATTAATAAAAACCTACAGTTACATGAAGAGTGCTTAAGACTACTACAGACTTCAGGGGCGCCTGGGTGGCTCAGTCATTAAGCATCTGCCTTCGGCTCAGGTCATGATCCCAGATTCCTGCGAGGAGTCCCGCATCAGGCTCCCTGCTCTGCGGGAAGCCTGCTTCTCCCTCTCCCACTTCCCCTGCTTGTGCTCCCTCTCTCGCTGTGTCTCTCTCTGTCAAATAAATAAATAAAATCTTTTAAAAAAATTTTAAAAAGACTACCATAGACTTCAGATCATCAAAACTGCAAAGAATCTTCAAATACTTCTGACCCCTTCCTCCACTCATTTATCCATCCTGTCCCCCCTTCAAAAAAGAGAGACATTTTGAAGGCACCTTAGCAAGAAAAAGTGTCCTCTGTCATCAAGACGTGCTGTTAAAGAACTGTTTTCACTTTTAAAGCTTTCTCTTCTTAGAATTATTAGAAAGTTGAAAGTTGGCCCACCTTTAACCAGAGTCCGGAACAAAACTTGAATGTACCAAGTTAAACAAAGTTGCACAAACAAGCAATTTTACAAAATGGCATTGTTTTCCTAATGTTGCCAATACACTATTCTATTCCCAGAAACTCTACAGTTCAGGGACTACATGATAACAACTTTGAGGCCCAATACAGAACAGTGAAAAAAACAGTGAAAAGCGCGAGACCCCGGCTTCCCTCCACAGTCTCTTTCTCCAGCGACTTCTGGGGCAGAGGGAGCACAAGGAGCGTGAACCCCCCTCCCCCACCCCCCCCACCGTGCACAGCATGGAGCCCATTGCCAGTAAACAGCTCCACCAACTATTTACTGAACTGACACAGAATTAGGGACAGGTCTTTATCCCATCTTCAAAAAGACCATACCATTGGCAAAACATCCCCTAAGGAATATGAGCGATACAAATATATGAAGAAAATAATTCACTATTACTCAGAATTTTTTGTTATTGTTATTTTGTTTTGTTTTTAAGGAAAAGTAGAAGAAAAGTCCCCCCCCTTTTTTTAAGTAGGTTCCATGCCCAATGTGGGGCCCAAACCGGACCCTGAAATCAAGACAGCAGAGTCTGTCTCAACCGACTGAACCACCCAGGCACCCCAAAGAGGGACATTTTTTAATTTAATTTTATTTTTTTAAAAGATTTTATTTATTTATTTGAGACAGAGAGAATGAGAGAGAGAGAGAGAGCACATGAGAGGGGGGAGGGTCAGAGGGAGAAGCAGGCTCCCTGCCGAGCAGGGAGCCCGATGTGGGACTCGATCCCGGGACTCCAGGACCATGACCTGAGCTGAAGGCAGTCGCTTAACCAACTGAGCCACCCAGGCGCCCCGGGACATTTTTTTTAAACTGCATTTTCTATGCTTCTACAGTTCTCTGGGCTGATGTCTAGTACACACTGATCTCACCAAACCTGTAAGTTGTAGCTGCTGATTCTGCTTAACCCATTTGATTTTAAATAAGTTTTTTTAGAGTAGGGATATTCGGAACTTTGAATCCACAATAGGACTGACAAAACAAGAGGCACTCAATAAATGTTTTGTCCAGAAAATGAAATAAGTTCCTAAAGTAATTACCTAATACCATGTTATGTACTGTTCTGTCAATGCAAAACAAGGAAATAAATGTGCGCGCAAACCTTTTTTTTTTTTTAACCTTCTTTCCTGCTAAATCTGTAACTTTTTGAAGGTCTACCTAAGACACAATCATCCTTCATCCAGGCTATAACTCCACAGAAACTTAGAAAATGCTTGTTGAGGGTCATCTTTTGTATCTACATCAGACCTCAGAAGAAAGTGTTATTTCATGATTCCTAAAATATTTATCATTGTGAATAGTATTAGTAACCATGCGGATAAAAAGTATTCTGTTTAACCCCTTAAATCAACAGCAAAAGAAAGAATACTTAATGCAAAAGGCCTCTCCCCTAAAGGGGTATTGTCTTAAGACTGATAACTCCCTAAGTATCTTCGACAACTCGACAAGCCAAGTCAGTAGAACCATCTGGATTAGGCAGACTTTGGAAAGCTGGAATTAGGTGAAAGACAATAGTAGTTCAAATATCTCTTACCAGGATCAGCTAAACTCCTTGTTGTAAGCACCAGTAAGGAGGCAAGGAAGGACGCCATATGGTTGGCTCCTAGCACCTACAACTTCAAGCTTAGTAGGTGTAGCCACGGGTGTACGGTTACCTTATATTAACACCTACGTATGCTGGTGACAGGTGCCAGTGATATATACACTATAGCGGTTCGAGGATGACACACCCAGCTGCAAGGACTGCTATATTCTCAAAATGCCTCAAAGGGCTGTAGTGTCTTAGAGTTCAGTTGGCAGAACGGAAGGGGGTAAAAATCGAAGAGGGAGGGAATAGCTTTAAATGAAGATGGGAAAAGAGCAGTTGAATATCAGAATATTTCCCTAGGAGACTATTCTGAATTTTTACGAACTGCCGCCTTCCTCCACCGCACCAAAAATGTATATAGTTAGAAAGGAGTGTTTCCGATGGAAGAGGTGGTCCCTATCAGCTCCCGCCCTCAGGCAGCAAAGGTTCGGCCCTACATAATTAGTCCCAAGCCCAGCACAGTACCCAGAAGTGAGGAAAGAGCAGAGGATCAGCAGTTTCTCTACTCTCTCTCTCGGGGGCGGTGGGAGCGGTGGGGGCGGGGGGGGGTGGGGGAGGGGGGGTTCACGCTCCTTGTGCTCCCTCTGCCCCAGAAGTCGCTGGAGAAAGAGACTGTGGAGGGAAGCCGGGGTCTCGCGCACTCTCCGGCTGTGGAGGATATGGAGAGAGAAGGCGCTTACCTGGCTAAAATCGGTCTTTCCTCCGTGCTGCTACCAAGCCCTGCCGCGGGTCCTAGGCGCTCTACCTCGCGCACCTGTCCCGACCCAGCTGCAACACCTACAGCTCCTGCGGCCCCGCCCCGGTCCGGCTCAGAGCCCCGCCCCGCCCCGCCCCCCGCTGCGGGGGCGCGCACGCCGGTCTCCCGTTTGGCCTCGGGGAGGGCGTGCGCGCCGCCGGGGGCGTGTCCTGCGTTCTCGGCTGTTCGTGTTGCTCCGCCGCGCGCAGCGTTTGGCGTCGTGAGAGGCGTGGCTGCTTTTCCAAGGGCTGCCTCTCACGTCCCGCGCTTCTTTGTGCGGGAGCCACGCTCCTTTAATGAAACGCTGAGCTTCGTTCTTCTTTACTTTGGCCTTAACTCTGACCCAGAGTTTCAGCAGTTTGACTTAGGAACGACTGGGCGGTTTGACCTCGGTTCAACTGTGGGTCAGTCCCCAACCAGGTTCCTGGTGCTTTCGGGGTAAGTTTGTGCAGAGAGGGTGTTTCAGAGGAGGCCGTGTGGTGTGGTGGAAAGAGCTACGAATGAATCCTGACTGTACTGCTTGACGTTCATCAGGCCGCTTCACCTCACGAGGGCTGTGTTTTGTAAAAACGAAGTGGTTGGACAGGGCGGATCTAGTTCTACGACAGCTCTAACCGTTATTATTCCTACACTTGGAATTGGAGCTGTGTGAGAGATTAAGTCAAGAGGCCTACCAGTTGGCCGCCCTGTCCCCAAATTCTTGCCCCAGTTCCGTGAGGCAGCATGAGTACCCTCTGGTAGTGTCCTTACTTTTCCGGCACCGCAAATGTAGTAAGGTTTCAGATCAGTTTTCTGAAGGTTTTTGGAATTCATGTAGCTTGGTAAGTACTCCCAAGGGGCTTGTGGTACTAAATGCCTACACTTACACTTCCTGAAGCAGTTAAGGAAAAAAAAATATTTTTAATTATTGATTTGACAGAGAGAGAGAGAGACAGCAAGAGAGGGAACACAAGCAGGGGGAGTGGGAGAGGGAGAAGCAGCCTTCCCGCGGAGCATAGAGCCCGATGAGGGGCTCGATCTCAGGACCCGAGGATGATAAACCTGAGCCGAAGGCAGACGCTTAACGACTGAGCCACCCAGGCGCCCCAAGGAAAATACTTAATAGAGAAATTTCCAACAGCAGATGGATAGACCACTCCTTTCCCTTCTTCCTTCAAATACCCAGCCTAAACTGATTTCTGCATAGGTACCAAGCATCAAGACTAGCAAAACTGGCAGGAAGCATAGGAATGTAAAAGAATATCAATATAGGATGGTACTCCAGAAAATGCCTTCCCTTGCAGGCTTAGTTCCCTCAATAGATGTCACACACACTCAATGTGTAAAAAATCAAGCCAATAATGGCCTTTATTCTCCACCAAGAAGGCTAAGAAGCCTAACCTGGGTCAGAGTTTGAGACCTACATTTGAATCTTGACACAGCCATTTACCAACTAGGCAAATTACTCCAAAATTCTCCCTTAGTGTCCTTTTGAAAATAGAGCTAGAAGTACCTCACAGCTGACTTTTACCAGTTTGCAAGGCTGATTGCTGAATTGGGGGGATTTTGTGAGCCAGTTGTTAAACATAACCACTGTTAAAAATCAAAATTATATAACTTTACAATTAAATATGTTAAAATCAGATAATAAATACTCAAAACTCACTTTTTTTTTTTTTTTAAGATTTTATTTATTTATTTGACAGAGACATAACGAGAGAGGGAACACAAGCAGGGGGAGTGGGAGAGGAAGAAGCGGGCCTCCCACTGAGCAGGGAGCCCGATGCGGGTCTCAATCCCAGGCCCTTGGGATCACAACCTGAGCTGAAGGCAGATGCTTAACGACTGAGCCACCCGGGAGCCCCTCATCACTTTTTTTAAACTTAGTTTTACTAAGAACTCTGCCCCTGAGGTTGTGCATTTTATCTGTATGATGGGAATACATGCATCTCTTCCCAACTCAGGTCAGAGAGGTCATTATTTGTAGTTTGAAATTGGCTGCAATAGGATATTTACACGTGGAAGTTGGCAAATGCTACAAATAAGGGTTTGGTTTATTGTTTTGTTGATTTTCCTGGCCCAAGTATCTGCAACTTTTTCTGTAAACAAATAGGCTTTCTAGTACATATGGTCTTTGTCACAACTACTCAACTGTTAACATTTAAAATGGGTGTGGCCATGTTCCAGTAAAGCTTTATTTACAAAGCAGTCAGTAGGCTGGTTGAGAAAATGTTGATAATGCAGAATTAAAGTTAACAGTGTATCACATTCCTGGCCTTGACATTGTGAACAGCACAAAAAATTGAGGAAGTATTCTCTCAGTATTCAAAAACTGTTATCCAATTCAGCAAAGAAGTTGCTAATGTCATTGATAAATGAGTGAAGTTTGGACATACCTTTTCGCTGTTTTACTTTTTTTTGTCAGAGAGAGAGACACACACAGAGCACAAGCAGGGGGAGAGGCAGGCAGAAGGAGAAGCAGGCTCCCCGCCGAGCAAGGTGATGCGGGACTCAATGCGGGACTCCATCCCAGGTCCCCAGGATCACTACATGAGCCCAAGGCAGCCGCTTAACTGACTGAGCCACCCAGGCATCCCCGCTGTTTTACTTCTGTCTTACTGGTTAACTTAAGTGAAAATATCAGCCAACATCCATGTCTGAACTACACTTCTTTGACAGTGATGTGAGCATCCTTTTTGCTGAATCAAATTGTAATCAAGCATTTGTTCATAGTCTGGTTCATAGTCTGATTTTGTGAGGTATTGTTCGAAAAAGTGAATCAATTTTCAAGAAATAGCAGGTCACACAAAGTACAGATATAGGCCAAAAGCAAAGTAAGTATTTTAGTTTAAAATCCTGCCAAAGACTCCATCAAAAAAACCGTGAGAACTAATAAATGAATTCAATAAAGTTGTAGAATACAAAATCAATACACAAAAATCTGTTCTCAACACTAATAACAAACTATCAGAGAAATAAAAGAATCCCATTTACAATTTCATCAAAAGGAACAAAATACCTATGAATAAATTTAACCAAGGAGGTAAAAGATCTGTATGTTGAAAACTGTAAGACAGTAATGAAAGAAATTGAAGAGGACACAAATGCAAAGATATTCTGTGCTTATGGATTGGAAGAATCAATATTACTAAAATGTTCTTACTACTCAAAGCAATCTACGGTTTCAGTGCAATCCCTGTCAAAATTTCAGTGGCATTTCTCAAAGAAATAGAACAAATAATCCTAAAATTTGTATGGAACTAAAAAACCTCAAATAGCCGAAGCAATCTTAAGAAGAACAAAGCTGGAAGTATGCACCCTGATTTTAAACTATATAACATTTGGGGTGCCTGGGTGGCTCAGTCGTTAAGCGTCTGCCTTCGGCTCAGGTCATGATCCCAGGGTCCTGGGATCGAGCCCCGCATCGGGCTCCTTGCTCGGCGGGAAGCCTGCTTCTCCCTCTCCCACTCCCGCTGCCTGTGTTCCCTCTCTCGCTGTGTCTCTCTCTGTCAAATAAATAAATAAAATCTTTAAAAAAAATAAAAAATAAATAAATAAACTATATAACATTTACTATATTATATTTAAAATAGTATGGTATTGGTATAAAAACAGACACATAAATCAATGGAACAGAATAGAGAGCCCAGGAATAAACCCAGGTATATATAGCCAATAAATGTACAACAAAGGAGTCAAAGGGCACCTGGGTGGCTCAGCGGTTGGGCATCTGCTTTCGGCTCAGGTCGTGATCCCAGCATCCTGGGATCGCGCCCCAAATCGGGCTCCCCGCTCAGTGGGGAGTCTGCTTCTCCCTCTGCCCCTGGCCCTGCTTGTGTGCTCTCACTCCCTCTCTCCCTCCCTCTCTCTCAAAAAATAAATAAAATATTTTTTTAAAAAAAGTAAAAAATACATAATGGGCAAAGGATAGTCTCTTCAAAGAATGGTCTTGGGAAAATTGGACAGCCACATGTGAATGAATGAATAAAACTCTACCACTATTTTACACCATACACAAAAATTAACTCAAAATGGATTAAAGACTTGAACGTAAGACTTGAAACCATAAAACTCATAGAAAAAAACATAGGCAGTAAGTTCTCTGACATAGATCTTGGCAATATATTTTTTAAAGATATTATTTAATTATTTGAGAGAGAGTGCACGTGAAAGAGCATGAGATGGGGAGGGGGAAGATACTCAGATCTTCCTATTTTTTATAATTTTTTTCAAGATTTTATTTATTTGAGAGAGAGAGTGTGGGGGAGGGAGAAGCAGGCTCCCCACCGAGCAGGGAGCCCAAAATGGGGCTCAATCCCAGGACCCTGGAATCATGACCTGAGCTGAAGGCAGATGCTTAACTGACTGAGCCACCCAGATGCCCCTTGGCAATATTTTTTTGAATATGATACCAAAAGCAAAAGCAACAAAAGCAAAAATAAGTAAGTGGAACTACATCATGCTAAAATCTTCTGCAAACCATAGGAAACCATCAACAAAATGGAAAGTCAACCTACTGAATGGGAGAAAATATTTGCCAATTAAGTATCTGATAAGAGCTAATATCCAAAATGTATAAAGAACTCATAGAACAAAATAGCAAACAAGCAAACAATCCAATTTAAAAATAGGCAGAAGGGGGCACCTGAGTGGCTCAGTCGGTTAAATGTCCAACTCTTGATTTGGGTTCAGGTCATGATCTTGGGGTCCTGGGAACCAGCCGCACATCAGACCTGTTCAGTGAGGGGTCTGCTTGAGATCTGTCTCTTCCTCTCCCTCTGCCCCCGCCCACTCTCTCTCTCAGATAAATAAAATCTTTTTAAAAAACTATAAAAAATGGGCAGAAGATCTGAATAAACATTTTTCCAAAAGGACATGCTTGAAAAGATAATGTCATTAATTATAGGATATGCAAATCAAAACCACAATGAGATGTCATTTCACACCTGTTAGAATGGCTATTATAAAAAATACAGGAGGAATGCCTAGGTGGCTCAGTCGGTTAAGTGGCTGCCTTTGGCCTGGGTCATGATCCCAGGGTCCTGGGATCGAGTCCCACATTGGACTCCTTGCTCAGCAGGGAGCTTGCTTCTCCCTCT